CGTTTTGAACAAATAAGTGAAATATTTGTTTTGGTTACGAGACCAATGAGATAAAAATTAGTCAAATATTTAAAAGAAATACCACCACTTTTTACTTGCACCGCGACATTAAACCCATGTATCAATGTTACGGGTGTAGAGGCATTGATTACCAAAATTTCTATGTCTTTAAATTTGCACAAAGATAACTCAAACTACATCCGTAACTAAATAAACACTTTTAATAATACTTTTACTAATTTGTTTGACATTTATGCTACAAAATATGGCAATATGTCAAACACTTTTGCAAGTGTAACCGACTCTACTAGCGGTGCATCGGGTAGTGGTGGTGGTCGAACGGATTTTCATATCGACCTCTATAACTACCTTTTGGAGGAGCAAAACAAAAGAGCGTGCACATTAACGTCTAGTAGCGAACTTGGAATTTATATGTGTTCAAACTTTTTAAAATAGCACCACAATTTAAAATTTTTGGATCTTTTAGCTTGGTGGAGAGAAAAGGAAGCACAATTTCCTATTCTCTCCGTTATGGCATGTGATTTACTAACCGTCCAAGCTTCCACGGTAGCTTCGGAATCCGCTTTTTCTTTTAGTGGTAGAGTATTATCAAAGTTGAGGACGAATGTTACCCCGGTTGCGGGTAGAGGTTTGCGTTTGCTTGAAGGATTACTTGGATTTTGTGGAACGTATACAACACTTGGCATCACTAGAAGGCCCACTGCCACAAAATGCTGAACCGGAGATCATGGATGAAGAATATGTACAAGGCTTATCAACACCTCCGGAAGACGAAGACGATGACGCTAAAGACGAAGACGAAGATGAAGAATATGGTATTGATGAGACCCCTAGTTATTTGCGTGTCGGTTGAAGAATAATTAAATAAAGGCGAAACTAAGTGGAAGACCACAAAAACTATTTCTATTTGGCTAAATGTTATAACGCCACTCTATTATTATTATTATTAGTTAACTAGTTTAAAAAATCTTTCTAATTCGACGTTTGTTGTATGTTTTAACTATTTTAATGAACCTATGTTGCATTTTGTGTTATATATGAGTCTAAAAAATGTTTATTTAAAAAAAAAGGAAAATCGGATCAGATCGGGTCCGGATCGGATTAAACGTATTCGGATTCGGGGCTCTGAAAACCGGTCAAATCCGGTTCGGATTAAGGGCGAAATCAGATTCTTTGTGACATCATCAAACCGGATCGGATCAGACCGGATTGGTCTTTGTGCATCTCTATGACCCCCACTTTGATTCAACTAATGTCTTATAGCACACAATACTAGAAGGATTCTCAACCCTTCTTACCATTTTATGCCCAATCTGTTGAAAACCACATTTACCATTGCTAATGTTTCAATACTATCCAGTCCAAAAGATCACACCACCTCTAAGAACCCGAATAAATCTCCAGTAATAACCCGCTAGACCCAAGAAGCTCTGAATCTCAAATGGAGACCTCAGAATCTCTCACTGCATCACGACCTCTATCTTGGCCGGAACGACTAGAATACCCTTCTGATTGACAAGGTTCCCAAGAAATTGCACCTCGCGCAACCAGAACTCACATTTGGAGTACCTTGCAAAAAGTCTCTCCCTCCTCAAAGTCTCTAGCACCTCCCTTAGGTGCTTCTCGTGATGCTCCTCGGTCTTGGAATAAACCAAGATGACGTTGTACTCTCCCAATCCTGCGATTTGGGATATGATCTTTCGCCATCCGCTAATAATTATCGGTATGTAATTGGCATATGCCATTTCTTGGAACTATAATTCAATCACAAACAGAGGATAACCCAGAGTCACACTTACTCAAACCCCTGGAACGAAAGATTCTATTGTGTAGTTTCCCGCATGTGTTGTACTGAATCTAACCCTGTCGGTCTCTCAAAAGTTGATCCAAAATCTAGGGTGTCCTCCCGATACCCCTCAATATAAGTAGTTGATCTAATTCCCTCTTACCAATGTGCTCTAAGTCCACATCTCGTTCTCAAGCTCAAGAAGTCATATCATTCAGGGTCTTGCACCCCGAGATACTCACGACCTCCCTGCTATGTTCTGGTAACTTACCTTCTTCATTTCCTCATCTACTGCACACTGTGGTACCATATAAGCTCTTTCTCGAGACTTGACAGTGGTCTCTGCCACAATCTCAGTTGTCTGGTGCAGATCTAACAACTCTTGTGCTAACTGTTGCGCCTCAATCGCCTAGGCACACTCTGCCCAAAATCTAATTTAAAATTCATCCCATGACATAGCATCAACCACATCATCACTCAACCTTCTACCAACCTCTTCCTATCAATCTCATGCTTTGTCCCTCAGGAGATAGGAAGTAAGTCGGATGTTGTCTCCTTTCGAGACAAGGTCTAGTACAAAAAGTGTTGGCAACATCTGCCAACCATCTGTTGATAACAATGGGGTCCCAAACCCCATAACAATCGGAAGTCTCACAAACTCTGAATTCCCAAAACATCAATGTACAGGCCCCTATCATGACTGCTATCTCAGTGTAGAATGCACTCGGCCTCTCATCACATATCTCTATAATGCCCTCCTAGATCATACTGAGGATCACAGTAGTCTGGTCAATGATATTGCGTGTAATCTCAGATGGAATGAACTCCCTCATCTGATTATCGAACTGCCCGATTACAGAGTCCGAACCTGAACCCTCGTCGACACTAGAACTACCATATGGTCTACCACGTAACGTCACTATACTCAGTAATATACTATCGCTAACATCACAATATTCATCAAAACTCGAGGGGTCTCACACACTACAAGTTCCCTGGTCTTATCTCGACCTTCCTTGATTCGAGTACGGATCCTCTGCTTTCAGTAGGACGGGGCCATACTATCTTCCACAACTATCCGTACTTTACTCAAGAACTGCCTCGACTCCACCAAGTCCCTTCTACTGCTACTTTTGTTCTCATTCTAATCTCATCCTAGGCTTGCCCTCGGGTAACCACCAACTCACTCTCCGCCATCAGCTGCATAAGAAATCCCTGCTTTTTTCCCTAACTAGCTCGCGAATACTATTACATATTACTCGGACTAGATAATTCTTCGAATGAGAGATCCTACCCTACAACGATTGGACGCAAACAAGAGCTGCCCAATAAAGCTAGGTCTAACCTTCTGAAACTATTTAATTCCCGCAATATGTAACGTAACATATTCATTTAGTAGTTACTAAATGACAACTAAGACTCCTAAAAGCACACAGCAAGCAACATTCGAGCATCGTGTACACATAATCAAGCATATACTACTCTGACTATCATACTGACAATTCTGTACTAGCATGCAGTTCTCATAGAGCTGAAACACATATAACAGGCACATAAGGCATCCTTCCTAGATCCTTAGTCCTAATCTAACTTGTAAACTACATCGGGCTTACCCCGACATACTACAACTACTTAAACGGGTCGACATTGTGGCCTTAGACTCGTTCCTACTGGAAGAGGACTCACCTCACACTGCTGAAGTCCCGCTGATAAAATCATAGCTGCTGGATGACGGATTCCCGGTCTATCAATATCAAAATAATACCCAATTAATAATTGGGTTCCAACTCATAACCATAAGTACATGCTTGGGGTAAAAGACTACTTTACCCTTATATTAGCTTGACTCGAGCCCAAGGCCCAAATCCAAAGGCCCAAAAGTCTAATAATGGACCAAGGCCCAACTATGGCCTATCTATGGCCTAATTTTCCTAATTAGGCCCAAGTCTTTACATGGTCTTAATCAAAGGCTAAACCATTTAGTCCAGTCCCACATTTGGCATTCTAATGGCCCATTATCATATAACCATCAAGGCCCAAACTATGGCCCAATTTTCCAAATTGGGCCCAAACCCTCATATGGGCCTTACTTAAGTCCATTAAATTATTCTAATCCGTTTTCTTTCTCTTGGATGGTCCATTATTATCCTAATCACCAATTCCCAATAGGAAGGCCCGACTCAAGTCCAAGTGAAATTAAGGTTTCACATAAAATGATAATTAAGGATAAGTGTTTCTCACTTAACTCAGTAAGGACTTAATATATTAAGTCCTTTACTATACTAGATAATTGATATGGAATAATTTGGGATTAATACACAATCCAATCCTAATGGCCCAAAGGTAGGTCCAAATAAGTGCAAGGCCCAAATACTCATACTTAGGGATTCCCACCTAAACATGGCCCAATAAGCCCAAAACTAATCTTTAAGCCCATTAGAGTTTCATTAGGTCAATTAGGGTTTTGCTAGTGGGGCACCACCCACTACTACCTTGGGTAGTGGTGGTCAATGGCGGCTCATGGCAACGGCCACCACCTTACAGTGGTGATTTTTGTTCATTATTCAATGCCAATTACAGTTACAAGGCTTTTAATCTAAAAATAAACACACATACTAACTACTCTAACACACACACACCCACTCTAGTGGTGGCCAACGGCGGTACAAGGCGGCAGCCACCACCTCACAGTGGTAGCGCTGGCTATTCCCGACTTTCTCGCTAGACAAAACGCCCCACACATAAACTAACACACACACACATACACACCATACGAGATAACACACATTAAAACATAATCACACACTCACACAATCTCACAGCCACCACTACGGCAGTTGGTGGTGACATGACACGACAGGAAGAAGCAGAAGCGGCGGCAGGCGATGGTTTGCATTGACAACCACTACCGTTTCCTTGAGTCTCGGCTTATCAACACACGACCATCCGAGCATGATCTTCGTGAGCCAAACACCAAAGCGTACCCTGACTTTAGCCACCCTCGTGGTGGCGCAAGGCAGTTGAAGAAGAACACCAGCCGCAACAGCCGCCCGAAGTGGCTGGTACGACGACGTTGCGGTGGCAGAAGAAGGCAGAGGAGAAGGGATGAAGCGAATAACATCAGCAACAACTATGAAGGAGAGCATCCGCTTGGTCTTCACTGACGGCACCAGGGCCACCGACGTCGCTTGGAATGGCAGATGCGGCGTCTGGCGGTGGCTTCGTCTTCTTCACAGAGGCGGTGCAGCGGCGACTGAGATGCTTGCAACCGACGGGGGGAATTGCTTCCTCAAACCACGACAGTAGCAGCGGCAGTCGAGTTTGTCATCGTCGGTACTGGAGGCTGCACGACGACTTCAGCAATAGGGAGGCAGTGACTGGGATGGGAGGAATAAGGGTGGTGGTGCCGGAGGACCCTCTGACGATGGCGACTGCAAAATCTTGGGCTAGGGTTTAGGGTTAGACGGTGGATGACATATATACTCCAGCTCCTCTCAAACTTCTACCATAATGACACTTCCAACCCCTCCATCTCCTTATTCTTTCAAACTAAGAACAATACTTACTAAACAATCCCTATCATTAATAATTTATTACAATACAAGTCCCATGAGTTCCCCTTTAAACCTTCAACATTTAAAATCCTTTCAGTTTAATCCTAATAGTTACGAAACATACCCTTGCTTCTAAAATTCTTCTCAAAACAACTCCGTAACTTACTCAACAACCCCCAACTATCAAAATTCTTCACAAATTAGTCCGTGACTTACAATTATTAATTTATTTAAATAAATAGGGCATTACAAAAACCGCCCATAAAAATCGAACCGACCCATATATATATATATATATATATATATATATATATATATATATATATATATATATATATATATATTATGTTTTAAACTTTTAGTTTTAGACTTTAGATTTTATCTCTTTAGTACTTTATGTTTATTTTCAACAAACTGTTAATGTCGTTAAACTTTGATCTTTTGAACACTTTTATGTTTTTAGAATACTAAAATTTGCACTCTTTATTTTAGTATATTTAAAATAGATACAATAATATTTGTCGCAACGTACTTTCACTGGGTCTGAACCACAAAACTAGATAAAAAAAGGAGCTCATCAACCTATGGTTTAAAAACCGAAAACCCATAAACCCAACCCGAAAAACCGAAAAACTGAACGATGCAAAAACCAAACCTATATGGGTTTAAAAATAAAAAAACCGACTTTCTACGATTTGGTTTGGTTTTAGCCAAAAACCGACTCAAACCGACCCATGCTCATCCCTATCGGGAAGCCATCCACATTTGTGTGATAATCATATAATTGTTGGGCATGACTATAAGTAGGTTTACATAAATATCGTGTATCATACAATCTCATGACATAGTTGTAAAAATTGTGAATGCTTTCTTGTACAACACGTACGGACATCATAAGATTCTCATCTACTGCATAAGGGGGAAGGGACATATGTTAGTTGATGAAGTGTAGCTGTGCGTTTTTGTAATTGAGTAAAACCTATTGTACATCTAGCATCTACGCACGTTGTTGGAAATATGAACATGTTTCCGTAACGTTGTTGACTATACAATGAAACAAATGTTTGTGCATACATAATCACGGTCGAAAAAGTAGTCTTGAAAAAGCACATGATCATTAAATAATTGTGCATGAGGCATTCGTGAGTAGCTTCACAATTTCTTGTATGTATCTTTTTTTTTTAATCCGCATTGCATTTTTGACATTTTGATGCAATTCTTCTATGTTTACTTCAACAGATTGAACAACCTCCATAGTCGTTTCTAACACGATCTCAAAAATTCCAGAAGATGAAGACGAATACATTTTTATAGGGAAGAAAGAAGTAGATTTTAAAGTGATATGAAATGGTGTTTAGGGGTTGTGTTTATAGAGTTTTAAAATTGAAAATAAATAAATAAAAATATAGCCTTTTGATGATTGGTGGTTGGAGGATATTGAACTCGGTTATAAGGTGCTGAGTACCCATTCCGAGGTGCACCTTCTGAGGACGAGACACAATGTGCACCAAGTTCGCTTAGGTGATGTCAAATCCAATGCCGAGTTCACTCCCTACGACCTAAGTTTTTACATAGTTGGAGATCATATCATATAATATTTATATATAAATGATTGAAGCTAGAACCCTAAATCAAGGATATTAAATTGAACATTCTGAATAGATGATTACGTTAATTTAACGTTTATTCCCAACATAACTAACTATAACTATAATAAAAGTATAAATACAAAATGAATATCTTTTATAAACACTTTTATGTTGTTTTTCTATTTTCTGAAATGGGCCGGCCCACGATAGCATAGCCTTGTAAGTTCTAACTTCCAAGCTCGTATATTTAACAAAATATAAACCCTAGATTCATTTCCTTCACTCTTCAGCGCCTCTAACGCAACACGCACAGAAATTGTGCAAGGATCGATCGAGAGAGCAGCTCCAGCTTCGGAAAATGAGTTACAAAGTTAGTATTCTTCATGTTTATCTCTTAAACTGATTTCTCCAGATTAAACCTAATCTCAATTTTTACTTTTCCCTGTTATCGCTTGAACAAACTACGGTGTTTTCTTTTCTAGATAGCAATTTTGTATAGTAGAGTTATGTAATGCTGACATTCGATTGTTTATTCCGTTGTCTTCGTTGCAGTTCCATCAGTTTCAGGTTGTAGGCAGAGCCCTACCGACGGAGACAGATGAACATCCGAAGATCTATCGTATGAAGCTTTGGGCTACCAACGAAGTCCGTGCTAAGAGCAAGTTCTGGTACACATCGATATACACACACACTTTTGTATTTTGTTTGTTTATTACATGGATCGATAATCGTTGTATGGTGTTGGAAATCAGGTACTTCCTCAGGAAACTAAAGAAGGTGAAGAAGAGCAATGGTCAGATGCTTGCCATTAATGAGGTAATACTAATTCCCACTATTTTTTGATTGGTTCTGTGCTGAAATCATATACTTTGTTACGTAATATTAGTTCTACATGTACAGATTTTTGAGAAAAACCCAACGACTATTAAGAACTATGGTATCTGGTTGAGGTATCAATCGAGAACTGGATACCATAACATGTACAAGGAGTACAGGGACACAACCCTAAATGGTGGAGTTGAGCAGATGTACACTGAGATGGCTTCTCGCCACAGGGTGCGTCACCATTGCATTCAGGTGATCAAGACAGCTACCATTCCTGCTAAGCTTTGCAAGAGAGAATCCACCAAACAATTCCATAACTCCAAGATCAAGTTCCCATTGGTGTTCAAGAAGGTTAGACCTCCAACTAGAAAACTCAAGACCACTTACAAAGCTTCAAGGCCTAATCTGTTTGTCTGAGTGACCACAACCCTTCTCATCGCATTTTGTTTTTCGTTTGGAATTATATGTTAGTTTTTACTCTTAATCTTGGATATTTGGTTTTCTTAAATGGAGATTGGTGTTGTTGCTTTGAGAATTATTACATTTTGTTACAGAATGAGAGTTTATTTTTCTTAAATTATGCTTCGACTCTCTTTATCTTGATTACTATCTTTGATTGGTGAAAGATGAAATAAACTTGAAATCGTTAACTATTTAATGACATAACTCTCAGAGAGCATAATATATACTGAAGATACTTTCAATTTGTTTAAAGTATCAATGGTGTTCAAATTAGGGTACCAAAATTCAAATGCTTTGTTGACTTAATTTTGGATCTTTTAATTATTTTACATGAGTTTATTTAAAAAAAAATGATATCCAACAATTTAAATTTTTTTAATTTATAAGAAGATAAAATATTAATTATTAGAATTAAAGTGTTTATTTATCTTGTAAATTTAAAATAATAATTTAAATAAATAAACAACTAAAATAATTGGATTCATTTTAAAAATTTAGAAACGATAAGAAAAGTTGCATTAATGAATTAAATATATATTTACTAATTTATAACCCGTGGAACCACGGTTATAAAATTAATTAAATTTTTATACTAAAAACTTAAAATTATTAATTAATTATTTTAAAAATAAGTTAACAATTAAGAGATTTTTTTTAGTTATATAAATTTTAATCATTGATTTAAAAAATATGTGAAATTATATCATTTTATAAATTGTATTAATTTTTATAATTTTTATTATAATATTATTAGTTTAATTTAATTAAAATGGAAAATTTAAAATTTAAAGTTTGAAATGGAGTTGATAAATGACATGCATTAATTATGAAAGAAGACACATTGCAAAAGAAGAATAAATATATAGTAATTAAGAGGTCTAATAGGATGATACATGTTAAAAGGAGAATAAAACTATTCTTTTATTAGAATATAAATGATTATACTTATTACGTATAAGTATTATAAAATTTGATAAAATAGAAAAAACTAGGGGTGTGTCAAATGGGTAAAATTTTCGGGTTTCGGGTAGAATGGATCGGGTAGAACGTGTATTTCCTTAAGAAAATAATACCTGATACCCGACCTATATTGTAATTTGGGTTTTTGGGTATTTGGGTTTGAGGTCGGGTCGGGTAATTATCGGGTATATCCGAATCGGGTAGGAAAATACTCCATACAATTAACATGCACATATATAATAACAATACAAATCATTATAATATGTTATGTATTTTTTTAATTCCATTCTGTGCAATAGTGAAAAACTTAGAATTGTGATGCCGGTTTAGGACTTCAGTTTCAGTGTCGTAATCCCTTTGCAAGTTTGCATCGACTGTCGAGACCTCGTTCATAAGAAGGAAACGATGGGTTTTGTTTTATTTAAAGTGTGCGTACGTGACTGCATTGCATATTTGGTATTATTTAAAAAACGAATTCAGGTATTCGGGTATACCTGAAAATAAATATTCATACCTAAAACCCGACTTATATTATTATCGGGTTAACCTATTACCCGAATGTTCATACCCGTTCTACCCGATCCATTCTACCCGAATTCGGAACAGGTCGGGTGGGTAGAACGGGTTTCGGGTTTTTTCGATAGGCATATAGAAAAAACCACAAATGATACGTGAATATAATTTAATCTAAATTTACAACAAAATTACATGATATAATGCATAAAAAGATACCAATTGCCATAATTATATTCATTTATTAAGAAGGATAAGAATTGAACAAAGTTTTATCTTGATACCCAAAGCTTTCTGTCTTCTTAACTCATCATTCAAGCAATGATAGTTACTATCAAGCGCTCTTCGTTTAGTGTTAAAATATATAATCCATGTCCATATAGGATGAGTAAAACAAAATGCATTTATCAAAAACAAAAACCAAATTACATAATTTCCAAAAGCCACTACAAACTGTCTTTAACTTTTTATTACTCAATGCTAGCCTCCAAATGTTGTTTTTGACTTAATCTCACGTCTAAATTGTTCTTTATGATGCAACACACATCGGTTTGTTGTTTCCATAAATTCAAGGTTTAAATGCAGAGAACGCCACAACGGAGTTATGTCCACCAAATCCAAACGAATTTGAAATCGCTGCACATAATAATAATAAGTTTAAATCAGTCAACTCATAATAACTCACGCCACAAATCATGACAAAAAAGGTTGCATAAACCACAAGAAACTCACCAACGTTGATTTCATGTTGTTGCTTTATATTTGCAACTGTGTCAAACTCAACTGCAGGCTCTGGGTTCTACAAATCACAAAACATAAATAACATGCCATGTTACGAAATCATAAAAAGTTAGAAAAATAAAACAAGAGTTAAAATACACAAAATAATTAAAACGTACAAATTGGTTAATGGTAGGATGAAGCCACGAGGTTTGAATGGCTTTAATGCTAGCAATAGCTTCTAGACCTCCGGCTGCACCCAAGCAATGTCCAATCATAGACTGAAACAATAGAAAAAAAAAAAGATCCAAACATCCAATCAATGAAGTCAATATGGACATGTGAAAATTTTGCAAAGGACAAAATAGGTAATTCACCTTGGTCGAGTTCATTTTAATCCCATCCGTGCTTTTGAATACCTTCTTTACAGCATTTACTTCAGCCAAATCACCAACCAATGTCGAAGTTGCATGCGCGTTGATGTAGTTAACCTAAATAAATATATTGTTTACCAGATTAAGTCATTCATTAAGTAAAAGACAAATTCGTCCAAATGAAAAACAAAAAGAAACAATTAAACAAACCTCCTCTGCTGACACACCAGCATCTTCAAGACAACTCTTAATACAAGAAGAAACACCAAGCCCATCAGATCGTGGATCAGTCATATGATAAGCATCACAATTTACAGCTCCACCTAAATATTCAGCAAGAATCGGTGCACCCCTTTTCATTGCATGTTCCAAGCTTTCCATCACCTACAACACCATTTCAATTTTTTTTTTCTATTAAGACATTGTACTTTAAAATAAATTGTTTTTTATATTATAGAAGAAAATAGATAAATGAAACTACATTGCTATTTCTTGCATTTAACATACCAGAACACCAGCACCTTCACCCATGACAAAACCATCTCTATCTTTATCCCATGGCCTAGAGGCCGTTTGTGGATCGTCATTTCTCTGAGAGAGAGCTCTACAAGCTACAAAACCACCCAAACCAATTGGAATAATGGCAGCTTCAGTTCCACCAGCAATCATCATATCAGCTTCACCTCTACGAATATGATTTGCAGCAGCGTAAAAGCAGTAATTTGAAGTAGCACACGCAGTTGAAATCGAGTAATTTGGTCCCATGAATCCGATATCAATAGCAAGCAACGCTGAACCCATGTTTGTAATCGCATAAGGAATGAAAAACGGAGTGATTTTTCTCGGACCTTTATCGATTAGAGCCTTGACTCCATCGGAAAACACAGTAAGTCCTCCCATTCCTGTTCCAACGAGGACACCAGCACGCTCTTTATCAATCTGCGTAAACAATAATTCAAATTCAAATTCAAAAAAAGAAAAAGAAAAGGAAACTTCAATTAAACGAACAACTTTACGAGATTTGGGAGAAAAAATCGGGAATGGGTTATACGATCAACGAACCTTAAAGAGTTTATCGCCACCAAGACCAGCATCTTCAAGAGCTTTTTTACCAGCAACAATGCAATAACGGAGGCAATCGTCGAGTCTCCGATCGTTTTTACCGTCGATATACCCATCGGAAGTAAACCCACGAATCTGACCACCGAATCGGGTCGGAAACTTGGATGCGTCGAACCTGTCAATCAACCCGATTCCGCTCTCTCCGGCTAACAATTTCTCGTAGTAGGTGTCAACGTCGTTTCCGAATACGGATACGAGACCCATACCTGTAATGACTACACGTTTTTTGGGGTCTGTTTCGCGTTTAGGTGCGGAGGCGGACATTACGATGGTGGCTCTGCGTGGGGTTGGGAGTGCGAGGGGTTTGACATTGATGTGGAATGAATGGTGGCGAAGAGGGTCGAGAGGGGAGACCCGAAGTTGGGTTGATTGGAGAAGAGCTTGAGATTGCATGGTGGTGTCGATGGGGAGGAGGCGATGATGAAAAATGGTGGAAGTATTAATAGCGCAGCGCTGCTACTTGTAACTTCAGTGTTTCATCGATACAAACGATGTTGAGGAGGAGTGGGCGGTGATGTTTGTTGACTGCGTGGCTGCGCGTGGCTTTTAGTGCGTATCAGAATGTTTTATTGGGATGGTTTAAGTTGGATTTTATTTTTAGAGTAACATACAACATGGGTTTATGTGTTTTGTTATTTTCTGCAAATCAAAATGTTTTATAGAAAGTTAATCCAATCCAAATATATTTTAGAGCATAATACAAAAATATTCATGCGTTGTGTTATTTTCAGGGCTGGCCTTAAAAAATCTTTTGCTATGAACAAATTTTATAAAAAAGCAAAGGGTAAAAGGGTAATATTCTAGATGGTAGATATTGTTTTTTTTTTGAACGGCGATAAGATAGTAGATATTGTTATTCATTAAAAATATCATATATTGAACAAGGGCTCGTATATTTAATTAGTCACAATTTTAACAGGTATTATAGAATGACCATGTGGTCCGTGAATTTACAAGTTTGTAATCAAAATATTGTAGTCGAAAAGTATAGTATTTTTGAATTTATTTACCATCAGCTTCTATTGAAGTATTGAAGCCTGAATCACGCTTATTAATCTTTTATATAAACATTGACTACCGGGATTTATTCTTCTTCTCTAGCATTCCATTTTCTTGATGTCGTTGCACCACCGCTGAACTACTCTCCCCCCATACAGACATGGATGAACCGTTGTCTGCCATTAGCCCATTACCAATGTGGGATGACCACTGATGAAACTCGTATCATTGACGAATCTGTCCTCCTGCAACGTCAAACTATTTCTACTATTGTTTTGTAAATATTTTTCAAATTACCATATTTTTTAAAATACTATCCTTATGTAGAAAACTCGTGAATTTACAAGATAATTTTTCTTAACAAATGATTTTTTTTTATTTAAATTAAACAAACTATTTTTGTTCTAAATTTTTTTTTGGGTTCTTAGAAAAATCCAAGAACTATCTTATCATGGCAAGTCTTTCATTTCTGTAGAAAACTATAGTTATTTTTCTAAGTCCATTGAAATGACAAAACTCACTCTACAAACATTTTTTTCTTCTTTCACGATTTTGATCTTTTATTTAATTTTGTTTTCCAATACGTATAGACAACTGATGCGTACTTTCAAAAATATTCTTTGTTTACATAAATATACATGGACAATGAGACCAATATAAATACTGTACTGATGCAAACTTCTAGAAATTAAGAAGATCCTTAATTAATAGACCCGACTACATATTCATTATGGTTGAAAATAAGGTTAGTTATAACTGCTCATTAAAGATCAAGATGGTGTAATTTTTAGAAGAAGTATAAGTATATCACAATTCCATATTCAACTAATGAAACAAGTCTATAGAAGAAGTATAAGTATATCACAATTCCATATCCAGCTAATAAATCAATATGATATGGGATGTTCATTATTGAACTGAGTATAGTATACAATACCAAAATCCCAAAAAATATATATTATGACATTGATGTTATTCTAAATATATTTGCATAAGAAATGACTTAGTTCATTCGATCTATTTCTTGGTGGTGTGACTCCATTCAAGATTAGTTTTGTATAAGTGTGAGACTATTTGTATAGGTGATACACACCTTTTGCAATTGTGTCTGAGTGTACTAGTTAGCAAAACTTGTACAAGGTCTTAAGACTACCTAAAACTTTTAATTTATAGTTTTAATGTATATCGATGTACCAGTGGAGACGAAAAAAATATCTTTCTCGAAGTGGTTAAACTCTTAGTATAGAGTCCAACCGCTATAATTACTTGTTTATAGTTCTTTTTTCATTTCTATCTTCCCCTATTTTGTCTTTTCCCTTTTTGATTTGGAGCACGTAGATGATTTGACTAAAGTCTTTATGGACAAATGGAAGAAAGACAAGCCCAATTTAAAATGGGCATAACTTTTGATCCGTGAGGAATTTTGAGATGTGTGATATATTGACGGAAAAATATGGACGAGCCGGAGCTCCTACCAAGTCAACGAACGGTCAACTCTCAAATTCTACTGCTTAGGTACCCAAATCTCAGTTTTTTATAATTTCGAACAATTCTATTTTTATGTTATTCTGTTTTAATGGCAGAATATCCGTTTTCCTTGTTTTTTGAAATTCAATTTCCCAAATTTGTTATATAAAAAGTTATTGTAAGCCTTTAGATTCATCTTGAATTTCAGTAATAAAAATATTTTGAATTTCTCTCTATTGTTTGCTTTCGTTATGCGTTGCTTTTGCACATACCTTCCGATTAAAAAGAACCCAAAAAAAAAGTGGAAAGTTAGAAGCCGAGCCTCCTAAAGCCACTCCGTCCACCCTAAAGTTGTCCACATTAATATTTGATCCATTAGTCGTTCAGTCAACCAGCACCACTAGCAGCTTGTTGTAATTTGTAAACAGTGTAAAACCAAACACAGTATAAGTCATTACATCATACATACGTTCTCCTTCAGACAAAAAAACTAGTTACGTGTAGAATTAAGCCATTTCCCAACAAAATGAATCTCACAAAACCTAGAAGCCCTTGGAAGCTTCAACAACTGTGGACAAAATCGCAATTCATCCTTCATGGTCAAGCTTTCGCATGTGATTGTTAACATTGTCAAAACCTCTGCATTAGCCAACATGTATTCTAGAAGCTGTATATCACACTTCCACCCCATGCAATTTTTAATTTTCATGCTTCTGAGGTTCGAATGTATACAACTTGGAACTGATTTTGGCTCAATCCAGCAAGAGTCTCCCACCTTTTTCTACATCACAAAACCAGATAATTAAAGAACCGAATGTTATACATAACTTGGAAAACATAGAATAAGACATGTCAAAACTTACAAACAATGAAATTACCTCTTCAATACATAAATGCTCCAACCCTGGAGAGTTTTCAAGCACTTGAAAAACTAGCAACCATTGAAAATTAAAACAAACCTTTAATTCCAAGTGCTTCAAATTGGAAAATTCGGATAGAGGTAAATCACTTGGGACCTTCAACAAAAGGGAAAAGTATCTCTAATATTAGTAATAAATAACAAATTAAAAGTTGAATGTTTTCTAATGCGATCTTACATGAGGAGATAAATGGAACAATGAAAGCGATTTAGCTCCACTTATTCCTTTCAGAAGGTTAATCGGATTCCGATACTTAAATGTTTTATCACGAAAGAAAACAGCTGCTTCAACCAATAATGATAAATCTTCCATCACAAAATTTGAACCTAACATCCCATCGACATAGAGGTATTCAAGATTAGGGAGATTCAAAACAACTTTGTGTCTAGAGATGAAATCGTTTGTTCTTAGTTCCAGTCTCTTCAAAGTAGGGATGTTGAAATTGTAGTCCCCGACTTCCTGCGGTAATATTAACAGAGATAAACTTTCAAGCACCGGGCATCCATTGATGAGTCTGAATGCCTTGATAAGACGTTTACTATGTGTAACACCCAAAGTTTCAAAGACCAAGAAAGGAAAGAAAACCCTAAGTTTAGGGGTCGACTCGGCGAGTCTAAGGGGGACTCGGCGAGTCCGAGCGGGATCCGGGTCGGGGAGTAAGTGACCGACTCGGCGAGTCGACCAGGGGGACTCGACGAGTCTGGTCTGTGCGTGGAAAACCCTAAATTCGGGACTTGGGGCCTATATAAATGTCTCAATCTTCTTCCCAGGGTTCCTTACTGCCTCTTTAGCCCTGGATATCAAACCCTAGCCGTCATATCTCCTAGTTGAGCCTTGGAAGGTGCTTTAAAGCTTGGAAAAGGAAGAAGGAACTTGGAGGAGCAAGAAGGAGCTATAGATCTGGGATTGTGAGTTCATTTTGAGCACTTGGAGGTAATAAACTAGTTCCTGGACCCTTTTTGCACCTAGATCTATGTGTGGTTGTTGGGGCTCTTTTGCCATAATGTTATTATTTTGGGTTAGAAGCCGGATCTGGAGTTGCTACTTCAGATTCAAGTGTTTTAGGGCCTGGAGAAGCATAAAGTATCAGTCATTGTGTTGATTTTGAAGTCCCTTGGCCTTACACCCTAGTTAATGGCGTATCTTGCCTAGATCTCCTTCTCTACACGTAAAGTTTGCAACTTTACGTAAGGAATAGACCTTAAAAGAGTGGATCTACAGTTTGGAGTCCATGCATGACTCAAAGGTCCTCTGCATGTATGTAGAACCGACTGGACTCGGCGAGTAGCTTGAAGATGAGGAGGAACTCGACGAGTAGGATGAACAACTCGTCGAGTCGAATGAAGTTAGGCATGGACTCGGCGAGTTGGATGAGCAACTCGGCGAGTTGGTTGAAGATTGTCTAGAACTCGGCGAGTCATGGACTGACTCGGCGAGTCAGGTCGCGAATAAGAAAGACCCTGAGTTTATGAACTCGGCGAGTCTTTAGGAAGACTCGGCGAGTAGGGTTGACCTGGAAGGTTGACTTTGACCAGAGTTGACTTAGTTGTCTGTCAGACTAAGTGTTATATGTATATTGATAGCTCGGAAAGCTGGAGGAGCAGCGGATCAGGGGATTGTCGAGTAGCAGCCAGAGATTTATCAGTAGGGTTCAGCAGCTACTTTGAGGTGAGTTACCTTCCAGTAGTGGTGGGCCTAAGGCCACAATGCCGGCCCACCAGTAGGGGACGTATGATAGATGATTGTCTTTGTGATATCATCTAGGTTTGCTATTACCTGTTATGTTATATGCTCTCATGATACGTTATATGCAATAGTAGTGGAGTTCGGTTGTTAGGACCGCAGGGTACTCAGACACCCCAGAAACATCTGACCGTATGTGATGGTATGCTTGTATGTTGGCCTGTTATGTTATGTGATAGAGGTAGCGGGAGGGGACCAGTCCCCGAGGATCGGTTGTTAGGACCGATGGGTAGTCAGCACCCCATAATGGCTTGACATGGGTAGTCAGCACCCCAGAATGGCTTGACACGGGTAGGACGGCACCCCAGAATGGCCGTATGGGTAGGTCGGCACCCCAGAATGGCCGTATCGGGTAGTCAGGCACCCCAGAATAGCCTGGCAGTATTTGTGTTATGTGTTTGCATGGTATGTGGTACGTTGGGGGAGCTCACTAAGCTTTGTGCTTACGGTTTCAGTTTTTGGTTTCAGGTACCTCCTCAGCTAGGGGAAAGGAGCCGGCACGGTAGCAGCATGTCACACACACACACTCTTCGGCTTCCGCATTTACGAGATTCACTGGGATCGTACTCTGATATTTGATGGGTTGTATGGTTTGAATATTAAAACGTGGTTTGCGATGTGTTATGGCGTGATCAAACAATGCTTTTATTTATTAATGTTTTCTAAAAGTAATATTTTAAAATGAAATTTTTGGACATGAAAATTGGGTCGTTACAAGTTGGTATCAGAGCCCTGGTTTGAGGGATTCGGACACGCCTTCGGGAGTGTCTGAACTCAAATCGAGGGATTGAAAGATTTTTCAAATGAAAATGTTCTCTAAAACTTGGAAAAGAGTCGTAAGAAAGTGCGAAGTGTGTGACGTGCGCGACCGGCCGAGCTCAAGTAAGTACTCCCAATTTACCCATACAAGTTATGTGATTATTTTCAATATCAGTTTCAGTATCAGTTTCAGTTCCAGCTTCAGTAAAACAGCATGCTAGAATAGGACTAAGAATCTAGGATGATGCCTTATGTGCCTGCTTTATGTGTTCCAGCTTGATGAGAATTGCATGCTAGTAATGAGTAGACAGTAGTAGGATGGCCTGTGTAGGCTATGCCTGAAAGTATAAGCTTAGCATTGTATGCTAGTGCAGTTTCTTGTTATGAGAATTGTTTTGCCTAAGTATGTTTCCTTTATCCGAATGCTGCTTGCTTTGTGCTTTGTGGGACTCTGAGTGATGGGAGTTAGCCATTAGGTGAATACGTCGCATCACATGTGATTAGGGTTGAATAATCTCAGAGTGTTGGATTTGGCCCTACTGCGCAGCTCTCGTTTGAGTCCAACCGTTGTAGGGACGAGTCCTTTACTTGAAGGATTATCTGAGCCTCGTCACATGTGATGGTATTCAGGTGGTGACTAATTGGCATTACAAGGAGGCCTTCAGCAGCTGAGGACTGTTTGGGTAGAGTTAGAGGTTCCCTAGGGCAAGCCTAGGATGAGAGTAGCAGAGATCAGTATAAGAGTAAAGGGGACTTGGTGGAGTTGAGGTAACTCTTGAGGAAAGTACGGATAGATGTGGAAGGTAGTAGGGGCCCATACTACTGAAAGCAGAGGATCTGTACTCGATTCAAGAGGGGCCGAGGCGAAACCAAGGAACTAGTAGAGTATGTGAGAGATCCCTCAGCAGTAGTATGTAATTGATCGGGGATTGTTATATTTTCAGCATGGTGACGTTGCGCGAGATATCAGTTGGCAGTTCAGGTGCAGGGGAGGGGTCTGGCTCGGGTTTTGGAGCCGGGCAGCTTGATGATCAGATGAGGGATTTCATTTCCGCAGAGATTATGCGCAACATCATTGATCAGACTCCAGTGATTTTCGGTTCAGTTAGAGAGGCCATTGTGGAGCTCATGGACAGTCACCTTAAGGCCTTAGGGGCCGGGGCAGTTTCAGGACAGTTTGAGGCTCATATAGAGCCAGATTCTGATGGATCCCAGGGATCCATCAGAAAGGGGAGTCCCATTTTTAGCACTTGTCATCCGGGGTCGGGAGGGAGTGGTCCCCCTTACCCCCAAGAGGGTTCCCTGCGGGACTGGATTGCTGCAGAGGTTTCGCGGGTTCTCCAGAAAGAGTTACCAAACACCATTGGGCGTATCACCGATAGTGTGGTCGACGGGATTGAAAGGCGGACCTCAGCTATCCAGGCAATGGGTGAAATGGTCACTATGGCCCATGAGCGGGAGATTGACTCGGATAGTCAGCTTGGGAAGAGGAAGCGGTCTTCCGGTCTAGTTCGGCAAGATGGGCAGTCGGACACTGTCGAAGTGCGTGTCAGAAGCCCGCAAGGTCGAGATAGTTGCTCGAGGGAGAAGGGAGCACGAGCTGGCGTGCGCAGCAAGTCTAAGTGCGGCAGATGCGGATGGAAGGGTCACAAACGTCAGGAATGCACAGTAGAAGTAGAGTTATGCCATCGTTGTCATCAGCCTGGCCATGTTAGGGTGAGTTGCCCCGTTCAGTGGTTGGGACAGCCTTATTGCCATAGTAGAGTTCGAAAATCAGAGAGATTTGAGGATCCTTCAGATCAGGTTGCAGGTATGATTCTTTTCCCTCTATTTTACTATTCACAACATTATTGCTATGCTGCTGCATTGATGTCAATAAACTTATGTGTGGTGTTAGTGTGGCTTGTTTGTGATTATGATATATGCCTTTTGCATACCTCGGAGAATTGGTTGGTAGATAGGGGATGTGCTCTTATGAAGAAGGTTTCGGAGAATGTAGTAACTGTAGCATGGTTGGGAGAGATTTGGTTCGTTACGCTAGTTCGGAGTGGTTAGTGTTGGAATGGATTGGTTAGATCCCTAGCTATGGCAGGCTTGGGTTCCTTAGCAGGATGATTATGGAATGACAGCAAGGATCGGGATCTCTTTTGAGTGTGAAGCCGCAAGGGATAATCAGGATCGAAGTGGGGGAGAACCCTCCGGGTATATTTGGATAAGAGTCTCGTAGACTCAGAATGAGTGTGCGGCCTCTAAGAGGAAATGGTAGTAGCTCAGTGATGGATGGATTGAGAAGTTCAGAATTAGGAGTTCGAGAACTTTTCCCAGCAGTTAGTTCATGTAATCGAGATGGTTGGAAGCTGGTTGGGAATCCAAGATTGAGGGCCACCTGTCGGACGCATGAGAGTCGGAATGAAGACCCTGAGAACGGGTAGCAGGAGATGTTTTAGCATTGGTAGCCAGTGTCTGAGGCAGCATGCAGATTGCGTAGATTCAGGAGTTGGGAGGTTGGAAACTTCCCAACAATAGCTTCTTGTATCCAGATTAGTAGACGGTTGGTTTGGGAACCAAGCCGGAGAATTCCTCGACGAAGCACTAAGTATATCAAGGATATAAGATGTCGAGGATGATGCAGAATTCAAAGACTGAGGGCTGGTTGAGAAATCGGGATGAAGAATCACTAGCGGGACTAGGGATAGTTAGGATGTCCTCGGGATGGTAGTAGTAGTGTTGTAAGCCTGCGGGGGTAGCCGTAGCATTCACTAGCAGTCAGATGGTAGTAGTAGTGTTGTAAGCCTGCGGGGGTAGCCGTAGCATTCACTAGCAGTCAGATG